CAAACATGTAAGAACTTTTTTTTGGTTGGTCACCTTTTTACAATTATACAACTGACACACATATCTTAACTTGCACCCACATTTATATTGACACTGAACTCAGGGCTCTTAGGTTATTAGGACAAGTTATGGACAAAATGTAAAGAATGTTAAATTCGCTAGGAAATAACACTATCACCATAAAACTAGATAGCCTTGTGTTAAAACACCTGACCTGTACTGGTCCTCTAAAAATATCAAGAGCAATAATCAACCATATTTGCAGTTAACAGAACAACCGTCAAAAACAATATAAATTATGCTTTTGTTTTGTTTTTTTTATTCAGCCCTTTTGTCATTTAAAATTTATTAGTGGTGGGAAGCAGGTCTGTCTAGGCCAGGGAAAGATGTGTCTGGTTATTTGAAATTATTTCTTTATAACAAATAGGCTGCATAAAAGTCAGCAGATATAATTCACCATGTTGCAGAAGGTTGTTCTATTCATGTGTAAATACATCAAAACAAAGCATCTTATATTTGTGGTGGATCAGATTCTGTAAAAGGTCATAAGCACATCTCATTGCAATATTGAGCCAAAACTAGGCAAATGTAAATGTTTTACTACGGTAATACTGTCAAGGTCTTCATGTGAAGAAACAAGGATTACTATTTCTTGCACAGAAAAACAAAAAAAAAAAACAACTGTTGTATACAGTAAGAATAATGTCATGAAATATTGGATTCCACCACTGGTTTCGCTGACAACCACTTTAAAACATGTAAAACCATATCCACACTGACAGGGAGATTTTGTGCTGAGCCTAGAAAGATTTCTCTCCATCACTTTCTACTGCTTGCATCATCTTGCTCATACTTCCTGATCAGCACTGCCATCAATGAATCATATGATTTCTCCTTGATACTATTTATACTTCTGACCGCCCCAGTGGCAGTTGGAGAACTAGCAATCAAGAAAAATTCAGTTAAGCCTGAGTACTTTTGCAAATTTCCATGCAGACGTAGGATCCATTAGCTTCTCTGCTGTATGCCAGCACATATCTCAAGGGAATATGATTTACCACATGGCCACAATGCAGCTAAGGCTTGAACTTTTACAATGGGGGACAAGAAATACAGGAAGGGTTTAATAAAGATGATGGAATCAGAGAGTCCATTAGCGGAGCAGGTCTAGGGCAGGTTTTCTCTTCCAGCAATAATTAATTCTAGGCCCCAGTAATAGAGTTAAGTGGGCATAAGTGGAGGCCAGTGAGACATGGCCAGCACAGAGCCTGAAGGTGACTCCACCAAAGCGAGAAGACCTGAGGCCGTGATATGACTGCTGATCAGGAGAGTGGGGGCTCTGTTACCTCACTTCCTACTCCAATCCAACCCACTTATCATACAATGTTAAGGCAGTTCATCTATATATAGGTGATGTATTTTAGTCAAGGCAAATGTCCAGTAAAACTAGATGGAAAGCTGGAAGTCATATAGCATTAATTCAACATTCAATGACTGTGTTAAAGCTCCCTGTGAACAAAATATTTTTTTGACCTATCACTGACACCTCATTGGGTTTCAGGCTGTGCCCCATGATCAGTATCACCATTCTTTGGCCCAAACTTACAGTACATTTAAACTGACCCAATATGCCTTAAAGCCAATTTTAACTCCTACCTTACCCTCACCCAAGCCAAGAGTAAATACTAACCTGCCTTATATCTATACATTGCATCTGCTTAGGATAAGCTGCCATGGCCCGTTCAATTTGCTTTATAGGCACTTGGCTCCACTGATATCAACATGAGACAAAGACCTAACGAATCATTAACACATTTGGGGGCAGAGAAAAGAAGCTTTAAATACAATGCTGTCATATTATCACCTTATAGAGCTGATATGGTCAACCTCTCAGCAAGCAGGTGCTTATTTACACATGCAGCAGATATAGACTAACAGCACTGGAGTGATAATTCTGTCCATTTGGTGAATGTTAAGTCGTCTTTCCACCAACTTTTGAGGAAAATATCAGGATGTTTTACTGGAGGATGTACAGAATATAGGAAATTAAAGGTTTTGCCTAGTCTTTTCCTGTGTTCGCATATTGTGATCAACTTAGATGAATCTTGTGGATTCCCAATGATGGATTGAGATCAGGTGACTGCATACAAGGCTGTCTGACACTAGTATTCTACTTGTATTAAGAAAAACGAGCTTAGTGTGAGATTACCTTTATGTTATTGTAGAATGACAACTAAATAGCTTTCTAACTTTTTCATCAAATGCAATCAAGAAGCTAGAGTACAACAGTCTAGACAAACAACAAAAAAAAAAAAAACAGACAGGAGCCATCAGCCTCCTGCTGGGACTCATCCAGTCTAGCTCTTGTTACAGGGCCTGATGGTCTGTACCAGCTTTGTTGTTGCCACCCTTCAACACTGAAGTACAGTCTGTGGGGATTACTCAACAGAAAGACCCAACAGAACAATCAGGGCAGCCCAATCTCCAACTCCCAACTGATACAACTCTCTCCTCTGCTGCCAATCAAAATTGTGACAAGGGCTGATTCAGAAAACAGACAATTGCCACAATCATCCTTTAGGCTCTTGCTGAGCCAGGATGGGGTAAACTGAAGGCATGCAATGTGTACTCCATGCTGTGTGTGACAAGAAACACTCACTATGTTTCTTATGTCAAATTATAGGTCCAGCAAGGGAAAAGTGAACTTGTAGCATTATCAAGCTGATTTAGATCAACAGACTAAATCCTGAATGGAAAAAATCAGGATTTTTTTCAGTAGAAGGTTTAACAAAGTGTGAGAGAATTTATGATCACTGACCTGTAATAATCAGACACTCATTATGATACAGGGCTTCAGTGAAGAGGCGAGAAGCAACCAGCTCAGGGTTGATCAGAAAACGAATTTCCTCTTGGACTAAACCAGAACTGGTGACTCCTCCCCCAACAAACCGATTGGCAAAGTCCACCTGTAAATCACAACTGATGGATGAGAATCAAGAAAACACTATGCTCTTACATATGCTTTGATAAAAAGAAAAACCATCCACAGATTTTTTTTGTCACATGCACAGCTTTCTTTTACTGTGAAATGATTTATAAAACCTGGACAACAGGAGGGGGAACACTCATGAAAGGGTCTCAGTCCTTTGTCTTTTATTTGTGACAGAATCTCTGACAAGCTGATTGGGAGGGCGGCCTGAGGTGCTCACGTTACTCAGACATTTGTCCCCTATGCCAAAACAAGCTCTCCCCAGGAGCAGCATTTAGGTGCACCGCTGCCAAATGTCAAAGAAAGAGAGCAGCCCTACAATCCCAAGTAAACATCTCCCTCAAGTCATAACATGCTGCTAAACCGATGCTGCCTGTGATTTCTTTTGCTCCTGTTCTTTCAGGTTCCTTCAGATCGATCAGTGACTGATATTTACTTGTTTATTTCAGTCCGTTTACGACTCAAAAGAAAACCTCATTGTTTCAGTTAAGACAGACGTGACAACTCATTGTTTTAGACAGAAAGCAGCCATGTGGAACATACAGTATACAACAATTTCACATCTGACGGTTGTTGCTCATTGGCCTGCAGACGGGCCGGCCCAGCCCTGTTTTAGCCCCAGGAAGAGGCTGCAGAGAGGAGAGCAGCAGTCTGAGAGCAGATCTCCCCAAACTGGTCACTCAACTTTGGGACAGCAAGCCAGTGTCCAAAATCTGCACTGACAGGCCGTCAGCATCCTCCCACCCCCACCCCAGCAGAGCATCCATCAATCTGGGCCAAACCCTCCCCTGGAGCTCGTCATGTGTACACATCAACTGTCAGTTTGTGGCAACTGGAGGCAAACAAAAGGTGAAAGGCAGAGCGGGCCATCCTGACAGTGTAGAGGAAGCATGGCAGACAAACAGAACAGAGGAGGCTCAGAGGCCTCGACCCCAGTCCCTGCACACGCTCCCTCCGACATGTCACAGGCTCCCTCAAAGGCCTTTTTAGCAGTAGTAAGCAATCTGGTTGAAAGCCTCCAGAAGGTGGTGCAGTCACTGGGTATAACAGAGGGAAAAGAAAACTAGAACAAAGCAGAAGGATGAATTTGTCTCAAACCAAGGGCTCCTTCAAATTAAAATCCCCCTAAAACCACTATCAAATCCTCTTTCCACAAGTGAACACCACTGGGACATTTCTCCTCTTCTACATCTTACCTGAAGCATTCCATGACCATCATCCTCAATGGTCCCTTCACAAGTAATGTGCAGCTTCGTAAGCGGAATCTGTGAGCTGAAACACAAAAAGGGAATTGCTTTCCATTTATCGACAATGGTTGAGATGATGGATCTTTGCTTGCTTCCAGCAGGCTACCAGCTCTAGCATACTGCAGGGATTTTTGGCAGAAACACTTTACAGTACTACTACTTCCTTTCTTTAATTACACTGTCAATATACTACACCTTTTCCAATTAAGGGGTTTATCCAAACTTCTTCGTGTGAAAGTTACAAGTCCAGTAGGCTCTGAAAGACAAGACATGGCAAAGTGTACCATGTCAAAAATGTATCTTACTTCACAATGACAGTGTTAATGCAACATTTTAAATTCCTCATGAAAATGAAAGCTGAACACTTACTTTGCTCAGTGACACTTTTAAAATAGCACATCAATGTTTTCAGCTTCTCGATCTTTTTTGAAGAGAGACCTTCAAACAGCCTAAAAGCAAAGACAAATGGTATATTACATACTACCATATTTTCATAAAAATTAAAAAGCATACTCTTTAAGTAAGCGAGTTACAGGTATAAATGACATTGCAGCCAAACAACCAACTCTTATGAAAAAAAAACTACAGTAAGGACCAGGAAAACAACTCCCTATATAACAAGTGCAACAGAGAAAAGACCTCCACTTTGGCCATGCAGATGTCTTTACTGCTCCTCTGGTCTGTTCTACGATTTTTCACATCTTCTACATTTTCAATTCTTTGAACAAATTCTACAACTATTAAAATGCCTCCAAGAGGAAAAAGAGCTAAAAAATCAGAAGCGAACGAGGATGTTGAAGCAGAAGAGGATTATATTTCAGCGGCGCAAGTAACAGAGATGTTGAGTCAGCAGAAGCAGATGTACACCGCACTGTTGAGCCAACAACAAGACAACTTCAAAAGTTTTGTGCAACTACTTATGGAGACAAATAACAAGAGACTCGACGACATGACCAGAGAAATACAGGAGATAAAAACGAGTTTGCAGTTTATCCAGCGAGATGTGGATGTGATTAAAGCAGCCATGGGTGAACAGAAAATACAAACCAAGGAAACAAGGGATGATGTCTACAAAACTTGTGAAAGTTT